CTGGACTGTAAGGTGGATAGAAAACTGCCTGGATTGTTGGGCTCAAAGGGTAATAATCAATGGCTCAATGTCTAATTGGTAGCTGGTATCAAGTGAAGTGTTAAATATCTTCATCAGTGACCTGAAGATGGAATGGAGCGCACACTCAGCAAACTTGTAGATGACACCAAGCTGGGAGGAATAGTAGGTACGCTGGAGGCTAGGGCTAGGATTCAGAGACCTCAACAAATTGTAGCACTGGACCAAAACAAATATGAAGTTCAATAAGGAGAAGTGCAAAGTCCTGCACTTACGACAAAACAATCCCGTGCGCTGGCAAGGCTGGGGACTGACTGGATAAGCAGCAGCTCTGCAGAAAAGGACCTTACAGTAGACCAGGGGTCAGCAACCCCTAGCACGTGTGCCGAGCGTGGCACACGAGTCCATTTTGCTTGGCACGCCGCGGCCAGCCCTGGCTCTGGGAAGCCGCTGCCAGTAACAGAGCCTGGGCTGCTCCGAGCAGGGCTTGCAGCGTCCCAGCTGCCTGCTGGGAGCAACCCAGGATCCTGGCTGGCAGCAATTCCCCAGAGCCAGGGTGGCTGCAGCTGGGAGGCTCCAAACAGCTGTGCCGGGCTCTGGCACCAGCTCCGCACCAGCGCGTGCAGGCACGCCTTGGTGGGGGTGGGGCCTGAGGCAGCGCAGCCCCAGTCTCTCCCCCGCTTCTGGCACAGAGGTGATGAGAGGTGATGGGCTGCTCCCAGCAGGCAGCTGGGGTGCTGCAAGCCCTGCTGGGAGCAGCAGGAGGAGGGGGCAGAGGCTTTGGGTGGGGGCAAGGGGCAGTAGGGCTGGGGGGGCAGAGGCTTTGGATGGGGGGCAAGGGGCACAAGCAGGGAATCCTGCCATGTACCCCTTGTGCTCATTTTGTTTTTCTGCCATGCCGGCACTCCAGCACCTTTCGAGGTAGGTGTTACGGTGTTTTTTGGCACTCTGGCCAAAAAACATTGCCTACCCCTGCAGTAAACCATAAGCTGATTATGAGCTAACAGTGTGCCCTTGTTGCAAAGAAAGCTAATGGAATGCTTGGTTGCATTAGTAGAAACATTGCCAGCAGATAGAGGGGAATCATTGCTTCACTTGATTTGGCACTTGTGAGGCCACATCTGGAGTACTGTGCCCAGTTTTGAGCCCCACACTACAGAAGAGTTGTGGACAAATTACAGAGAATCCAATGGAGTGTGACAGAAATGGTGAGAGGGCTAGTGCACGTGACTTCTGAGGAGAAGCAGAGGGAAGTGGACTTATTTAGTTTGTAGAAGAGAAGACAGAGGGGATTTAATAGCAGCCTTCAACTACCTGAAGCATGGTTCCTAAGAGGATGGCGCTAGGCTGTTCTCAGTGATGACAGATGACAGAAAAAGGAACAATTGTCTCAAGTTGCAGCAAGGGAAGTTTAAGTTAGATATTAGGAAAAACTTTCTCATGAGGAGGGTAGTAAAGCACTGCAACAGCTTACCCAGTGAGGTGGTGCGATCTCCATTCTTGGAGGTTTTTAAGACACTGCTAGACCAAGCATTGGCTGGGATGACAAAGTTGGGGATTGTCCTGCTTAGAGCAGCATGCTTATAGGCTCGGCAGTGCTATGCTCGCTAGCACCACGCCTGAAAGAGACTTGGGGATCATGACTGACCACAAGATGAACATGAGCCACCAATGCGACGTTGCAATTGGTAAAGCAAACAAAACTCTGGCTTCCATCCATAGATGCTTCTCAAGTAAATCTCAGGATGTCATCCTCCCACTATACGGCCTTGGTGAGGCCATAGCTGGAGTACTGCATCTAGTTCTGGGCTCCATAATTCAAGAAGGATGTGGAGAAGATTGAGAGAGTCCAGAGGAGAGCCACGTGCATGATCAGAGTGCAAGAGAATAGGCCTTATGAAGAGAGGCTGAGAGCCATGGGACTCTTCAGCCTGGAGAAGTGCAGGCTCAGGGGTGACCTGGTGGCAGCCTATAATTACATAAGGGGTGTGCATCAGGATCTGGGGGAATGCTTTTTTACCAGAGCGCCCCAAGGGATGACAAGGTCCAATGGTCACAAACTCCTCCAAGAGCGTTTTAAGCTGGAAAAACTTCTTTATGGTCCAGGCCGCCAAGGCCTGAAATAGATTCCCTCCAGAGGTGGTGCAAGCACCTACTCTGGACTCCTTGAAGAAACATTTGGATGCTTATCTTGCAGGGATCCTTTGACCCTAGCTGACTTCCTGCCCCTGGGGCAGGGGGCTGGACTTGATGATCTTCCAAGGTCCCTTCTAGCCCTAATGTCTATGAAATATTTATGAAATGTATGAGATGTTTCTTTTAAATATAGACCTGCTAGACTGTCAGTTTTAAATTTAATTTTATGTAAAGATCTAAGCCAGTGGTACTTGACCTTTGGGTCCCATGAACCGGGTGAGGAGCACTGGGCTGGTCTGTGGGCTGGATCAGATCCCATGCCACCTCCACCTGGTCCTGTGTACAGGGCCATATCCTGCAGGACTCCCCGTGGATCTGTGATGCCATGTTGCTGGGCGCTGGATCTGGCCTGTGGGCCAGGGGTTGAGCACCCTTGACCTAAGCTATGGGCGACCAAGATCCAGAGCAGTTAATGCTGCTGTTGCTTATCCTACTGCCAATTCCTTGGACCTGTGGAGAGCCCCATGGGCTGGATGACATTGCTCAACATGCCAGGTTGGGCCTGCCAACCCACCCTACATGCTGGATTGGGTCTGCAGGGCCAGGTGGGTTGAGCACCACTGATCTAAATTTACCACAATCTATTAGAGTTGTTTAAATAAAAAATGCTTTATTAAAAAGATCTCAAATATTAGGGTTAAAGAGTGGCATGTAGAATCGGGAGAGGGAGACAACTTAACTTTCGTGGTCAACTTCACATTGATAAAAGTGTCACGTTATCACACTGCATTATGCTTTTGCAGTGTAAATACTCGCAGTTTCTGTTCTGCAGAAAAGCTTTTGTGTAAATTATGACTGATTTCACTTCAGAAAGCAAGTGCAGCAAAAATATTTTCATTGTATGGATTAGTTAATTTAAAAGTTGAAACCAGTTGAGAATTAAAGAAAAAAGCCAAAACAGAAACATTTTAGTCTAATCTGTGAATAAAAATCCAGCTGGAGAGAAACCAAGATCTAGTAAAACTAAACATTTGAAGTATGTATGACCAGATTTTCTAAAGCAGCTGTCTACCTGAAGGTGTATACAGGGATTATCAAAAGTGCTTAAGCAAGTTCTGTACCAGATATATACCTGATTTGCAGAGGCAGTCTTGAAAAATCCCAAGCACCTAAAACATTTTGAATGTGTGGACAGTGGTGACCAAAACAATCAATTAATTAACTGCAGTTAATATTGTCTTTAATTTTAAATGCAAGATATACTTTGTTAAACATTTAGCCTTGTGTTTCCAGCATGTTCTCAGATCATTTTAATTTAATTAATAAATAATTCTAAAATGCTGTTTCTGAGTCTAATCGAATTCTAGTTTTCACACGTAAGCAGGTAATTTGGCACAAATTTCAGATAAAACCTATCAACTGGTAAATAAGGAATGTGGTGCTTACCATTTTTTAATTCTTAAATTTTTCTTGTGTTAAATTCCTGTTCATTGATGTATACAACTGTTTAAATGAATGTCTATGAATCAGTAGGCAAGGTTTTTTGAGTAGATGTGATATATTTTATTAGACCAACTGAGTAGTTGGGAAAAAAAGTTCTTGGCAAGCTTGAATAAATCAGTACATCTTCCTAATTAGCAGAAAGTACCATGTTGAGTATAATGACTATATTTAGCTGTCAATCATCATGTGTTGTATAAACCAATGAGAAGGAGCTTTTCTTTAGTGATGGAAATGTAGGTCTCAGTGACTTCAAGAGACTAGTACTGTGCAATGAAATGGGCATTTTTAGAAGGTGGCAGGATGCATAAAAGATTGCTTCCTCCCTGTCTCTTCAAAATGTAATGGAGCACCCAATAATATTTATTTTTATAATACATGATATAAAGAAAAAAGTTGAACAAACGTTACTTTCTTTGAAGAAAGGACATATTCTCCATATTTAACAGGTGGAGAAACAAGCAAAGTGCTTGACCAAAGCTGCCTTAAGCATAGATAAATTATTTAGGTCTATGACTTGGAGGTGGTGTGAATACTTTGACATGAGTAACTCTGGGTGTTCTGCGCTTATGAAATTCATGCCAGTTTACTACATTAATAGGATTTTCTTCATCATTTTGAACTTGCTGCCAAAGACTGTATGTTCAAATCTGATTTTTTTTAAAGTATCAATTGTACTGTCTCTCTCCAAGTTATTCCCCTGGTCCAGGTTTATGGAGTAAAATGTTTCAATAAGGATGAATCAAAAAAATGGTAGAGAATTTAATTAATGGACAAAACTCATCCATGATTAAATTTCAAACCCGACCACCTAGTTTTGAAGAAAAAAATGGGAATAGAAACGCAGTTAACTGAATCACTGTCATTGATCTATATAACATGATATATAAGTAAACCTAGCAAAACTGCTCTAAGTTGGAGTGGTTTTACCACAGTATCGTTTCTGGTTTGTTCACATGTGAATAAGTAGAACATAACAGCTGCTGGTCTTTTGAAATGTTCCCCTTGTGAAATGGCTCAAATTGTACATGTCCATACCCTTTGTTTGTTCAGTTACTGTGGATACATGTTGAAGATTTAGATTCTGTGCCTCAGTTAATTATTTTATAAATGATATGGCAAAATGTGTTTCAAGCTTTTATGTAGTTCCTTTTTAGAAAGGAGTGGAAAATAGGTTTGATATGCATTTTTAAATATTAGTGGTACAGAATTAGTGTCCTGTATTATTGCATTACTTCATCCTGGGTCCTTTGCCATAAACTTATAAAAGAGAAACCACTGCCTTCAGACCTGCACTGTATTTAAGTTATTTTGTCTTGACCTTATATTTTCAATTTTTTTTAAAGATAATGTGGATGGGAGTGACCTGAAACAATTTTTTGAGATCCACTATTCTCAAATTTATTTTATCTTCTATGAAAATTTCATAACACTGGAAAATAGCTTGAAACAAAAAGGTAAGCTTTCCTTCAAAAAATATTTTTTTTTCTTATTGAACCTTTAGGGTTTCTTAGCCATTTTAAAAAAAACAACCCATTCCAGTTATTACCATTATCTAATTGGTGTGGGTTCCATACTTCCTTATATTCATCGTCTTCTTGAACTATAATAGTTATTATGTTTGTTTTATAGTACTTGTATTATAAACAGCATTTAAAACTTAAGTTTTCAGATAGTTAAGCTTTACTTTATAAACTTTATAAAATGACCTTTTGACGTTTCCTTAATGCCTTTTATAAATTAATTAAAAAACTCTTCCCTAAGAGTTTGAATCAGCTTGTCTTGAACAAAGAAATTGTTAATAAAACTGTTAAGAAAAATCAGTTGATATTTTGTAGTCAGGATAGAAACTATTGTAGATTTAAGTTTTTTTTGCATGTTACTATGGAGAAAAAAATATATTAACATTGAGGAAAACATGCGTTTGTGATAAAAAAAAAAATGAGCTTAGTGAAAATTAGCAAGCTTTGGTGATTTTAAAAATCTGACAAAGACAGAAAATTGTAGGAAATTTTAGTCCAGACTTAGATGTCTCCAAAAAAAACAAACCCTAAAAACACTCTTAAAATTGATATAGCCTGCCACTTATAGGCAGATCTATACCAGTGCTTAAATATTTCTAGTACACAGACCTGTTAATTGGTATGTTCTGGTGTTCAGTGCTTGCAGGGAAAAACCTCTTTTCAGTTAGGAGTGATATTGTTGATTATTACAAGAAGAAAAGCAGAACTCGAAACTCAGATCTGATCGCAAAAATGGTTTTAATTTTCAGTTGTTTGATTTAAAAGCATTATTAACATTTTTAATTACATTTTAAAATACCTTTCAGTTCTTAAATAAAAACACTTTCACAATAAACGTAACATGTTATGTCTTGGTGTAAAAATCATGCATTGTATAGATGTACCATATTTACCCAAATCCAAGATGACTTCAATTTTAAGATTACTCCCCCCACCCAATAATTAGATTCTGTACATAGAAAATAAAAAATTTGTTATAACTTTCTATGTATAGAATCTAATTCCTGGGGCATCATCTTAAATGTATACTCTTTACTCTTGTGGCTGGGAAAGCAGTGGAGGGCAGACCCCTGCCTCCTGACCCTCCCCTGCATACCTGTGCCTGCCTTCCTGATGCCTGTCTTGTCCCCCCCACCACCATGCCTGTGCCAGCCTCCCTCCCACCCTGGTAGCACTTCTCTTCAGTGACTGCAGCTCTGAGACAGTAAGTGGCAGTGGCCTTGGCCAGACAGGCAGAAGCTGCAGAGGCAACTCCAGGCTCAGCTGGGTCAGTGCTGGAGGGTCTGTAACTGAAGGTAAGTGGCAGGAAGGTGGGGGGAGGAAGGCTACAGGGGGGGAGGATCCCCCCTAAGCCACACACCATGAGTCTCCATTGCCCCCTCCCCACACCAAGAACTGCTGCCCCTGCTATATGAGCTGCCTCAAACTGGAATTTAAATCTAAGATTAGGTTTTGTTGATTTGGAGTAGAGAAAAACTTGTATTGGATTCAAGTAAATATTAGGGTTGTGCAAAAGTTCGGTTCCTGATTTGATTCAGCGAAGATTCGGCCCAATTTGGTGGCAGGATCTCCGAATCTGAATCGAATCAGAGGACCCTTTCATCTCTCTGAATCAAATCAGGACCCTCTGAATCGATTCAGAAAGATTCAGAGATTTGGAGATAGACACAGCTTTAAATGTTTTTTCTACATACCTCTAGGTAGCAGGAGCTCATGAGTGCTGCGATGGTGGGGTGCATGGAGCGTCCCACAGAAGCACGGGGGGCTCCCCAGCGTGCTTGGCAGCAGACGTGGAAGTGGACCACAAGCACTTCCGGGTCTGCAGGGAAACGCAAGGGGGACACCCCTCCCCCC